AAAAAAGTGTAATTACATTAATTTATTTTAATTGTAAATATTATGTATCACTTTTTTATTAGTCTATTTAAAATTATAAGTCAAAACTTACAAAATTTTACTACCTTATTTTCAAGAAAAAAAATCTCAATTATCACTTAATATAATTATTTCTTATCCTATGATGTGACGCACACTTTAAACAAACTGTTAACTTCTTTTGTCTCATGATGATTTTTTTTTAATTAAAGATTTAGAGATTATCTATATATTTATTTATTTTTTATTTTTTTAAAAAAATTAAAAGATAAAATAAAATTTTTTATAATAAGATAATTAATCAAAATAAATAAATAATAATTGCATTAAAGTAAAGGAAAAATATTTATATATTTTAAAAAATAATAATTAATTTGAAATAAACTTTAAAGTTAAAAAATAATGATTACTTTAAGACAGAGAAATACTTATTTAATATCAACTTTTCATTTGGGTCCTTAAAATTGTTGGTCGAGGTCTTTAATTGGACATGTGGGTAGTTTAGTAATATTAACTTTTCATTTGAGTCCTTAAAATAGTTGGTTGAGGTCTTTATTTTTTATTTTTATTTTTTTTTGATGTATAGTTGGTTGAGGTCTTTAATTTGACATTACTTCAATTTTTAATTTATGTTTGACTTTTTTTTAATTGTGCTTTTGGGTTCTTTTTTTTTTTAATTGTTATATTCTTAAAACATATGTTAAAGACATTTTTTTAGTATTAATTGTTACTAAAAATTAATTTTTTTAATTAACTATCTAATTAAAATGATCATTAGCATAGATGATGAAATAAATATCAAATTTTGTCATTTTTAATATCAATTAATATAAAAAATATATCAATTATATCATTGACCTATGTCATATGGTACATATTAAAAAAACTCGTGTTTTTTCATATAAACTAATAAAGAATGGATTATTCCATAAAGTTTTTTGTGTAATTAATATTGAAAATAAGGTCAAAAAATTTCACAAAGAATTTATGTAATTAATATACTATTAACAAATGCTGCATAGGTAGGGGTGGGGACATTTTGAATATTACCAAATTATTCAAATTTTCGGCTTAAATTTTTTAATTTTGGTTCACATATTGGAAATAAAGTTAAATAAAATCAAAATTAGGGGTATTCATATCCGATCCAATCTGATTGATCCGACCTAAACTGATCCAATCCAATTAAAACCGATCCAAACCAATATAAAATCGGATTGGTTTGAATTCTAAAATTTTAAAACCGATATAATTGGCTTGGTTCATGATTTTACCTTCAAACCACCCAAACTGTTCGATTACAAAATAAATAAAATCCGATTAAAAGATAATTTAATTAAATAATATAACACATTTTTTGTAGTATTTTAAATTATTTTTTTCTTATTTTACAAGATTATAACTCAATTAACTTAATTAAAAAAAATAAAAATAAAACATTTTCATATTCCCTAAGTTATTATTAAATTTCTAATTCACCTGCAACTCTATTATCTCATAATTAATTTGCGCCTTTACTTTTATAACCCTAAATTTTTAATTTTTTTTAAAATATCTTATGGTTCTCCTAACTAAATTTTAAATAAGTATCATTTTAGAAGTTTATATAATAAAATTAGTCTTAATATTCTACTATTTTTGGATATTTGGTTTAGAAGTTTTAAATTTTAATTATGAATACTTCTAATCAATTTTAGTAAAATTCATGTTAAATGTTATTCACTTTTAATAGGATTTAGAAAATATGATTAAATTATTAGTGCATTAGGAAAAAAAATGAATTTTAATCTTCAAGAATTATTTACGTTGTGCTAGAAATTTAAAATTATTTTTTATTACTTTTGGTACCTCTAGTGATATAACCAAGAATAATTTTCAGAGCTTTTCAATTTTTACAAATATAAAGCAGTATAAGAATTTGTTTATAATTTTTACCTATTATTATGTTTTTACTGATTTGGATGTTAATTTATTTTATAATTATACTTTTTATTTGATGTTAAAATATTTTTACATTATCTGTTATATTTAATAATATTAAAAACCGATCAATCTAACTGAATCACATCGATCCGATTTAAATTGGATTGGTTTGGTTACCACATAATAGTGGATTGGATTGGTTTAAAAATTTTATTAATCGATTAAATTGAATTGATTTAAAAAATAATAAAATCTGAATCAAACCACACCGCGAACACCCCTACTTATGGGTCTATTTCACTATTTGTAGCATTGCAAATTACAATGAATTAGAAAATATTATATTAAAAAAAAGATTTTGGTTCAAAATATATTAAATTGTTAAAATTTAATTATTAGATTGAGAACACCTTTGATATTAAGAGTTGACTTATAATTAATGTTTTATAATTTAAATGTAAATTCTTATGTTAATAGTTAGAATGAATTAAAGTATGAGATGAGTGTTTATTAAAAAAAATTATATAATTATATTATTTTAATTTTTTTTGAACAAATTTGCAATGAATTGGATTCAACCCGTTGCTTATGAGAAAGAATGTACTTTACACGTGGCTTCGCACCAATGAGCAGAAAGTTCAAGTGTAATTATATTATTTTAATAAAACTTAAAATGAGAGGAATAAAAATGACAAAATATTACACTCCTATGATATATTTACATTACGTGAATAGGTGTGATGATG